CGCCGTCACGCTTCGAGAACATCGGCAGCTGACGCGCGCGCATGCGCCGTCGCGCTTCGAGAACATCGGCAGCTGACGCGTGCGCATGCGCCGTTGCGCTTCTCCCCCTTCTCGAACATTCGACAGCTGACAGTGCATGCGCCGTCGCGCTGTATATATACTTAAGGTCGGTGCTCGCTCGCTCAGTTGCCGCTCTTCGGTTGGTTTGTACGGCGCGTCGATGTCCGAGGTCGCAATGATCGACGTCCCTTCGACCAGCGCCGGCCAAAGTGGCATCTAAAAGCCATCGTGCTCAAAGTTCGTCGCAATAAATAAACACCGCCCTTTCGCATACGTGTCGTACGTGTTCACTCATTTAACACCCCTCCTACAACCACGTTAACCAATTTAGCCAGCGACCCAAGTAAGTCGCAATTTAACACCCCATTTCACAACCACGTTAACCAATTTAGCCATCGACCCAAGTAAGTCGCACTTTAACACCCCGTTAGCCAATTATATGCTCCGCATCCTTTTCAGTGTTCCCCCGAGGGAAGCTGCGGGCAATTTTTCGAACCGTTCTTTTAATCCGTTAGCTTGTGGATGGTAAGCCATCGTTCGGTGATGTACGTTGCCTCTGAGTATCATCACTCGTTCCAGCAGTTGGGCGGTGCCTCTGTCACTTAGAACCACGGCCGGTGCACCATGGCGGAGCACTTCAGCATGAACGAAGAAATTCGCGAGATCGCTTGCCGTACCGAGTTGGAGCACTCGCGTTTCACAGTAACGGGTCAAATAGTGTGTTGAAATTATTATTTAGCGATTGCCCACTGAATATTTCGGAAATGGACCTAGCAGGCTCATGCCAACTTGTTGAAACGGTGCTCCGGGTGACTCCACAGGGTGTAAAAGACCAGCAGGTTTCATGGGCGGAGTCTTGCGACACTGGCAGTCTCGGCAGGTTTCGACGTAGTGCTTGACGGTACGGGACAGTTTGGGCCAGTAGTAAATGGGGCGGACACAGGCCAGAGTACGCGTGAGCCGTAAATGCTCGAAAGATGGTTCATCATGGCACGCCTTAGGGATGCCGGCTCGCATCGCAGATTGTACGACGAGTAGGGCGGTTCGAGCCTTGGGATCAAAGCTCCGCTTGTACAGAATGTTCTCACGAAGGAAGAAAGATGAAATCGTGCGCCTGAATGTTCGTGGTGGCTGTTCAAACTTGTCCTCGAGATAGTCTGTAATTGGGTGAAGTTCAGTGTCATCACGCTATTTCTGAGCCAAGTCGGAGGCTGTGACGGCCCCGAGGGAAGTTTTGTTGTCAGTTTGGTCAGGAGGAATTGACTCGACTGGGGCACGTGATAGGCAGTCAGCATCGGTGTTCTTGTGTCCCGACTTGTAAACCACCGTAACGTCAAATTCTTGTAGGTGGAGACTCCATCGAGCGAGGTGGCCTGAGGGGTCTTTGAGGCCTGCAAGCCAGCACAAAGAATGGTGGTTGGTGACTACTTTGAATAGTCACCCATAGAAATGTTTTTGGAACTTGGCTATAGCCCACACGACAGCTAGGCATTCCTTTCCTGTGGTGTAACAGTTCGTTTCAGCCGATTATAACGTACGACTAGCGTAGGCGATCACTCGCTCGATACCATTCTACCATTGCACAAGCACGGCTCCGAGGCCGACAGTACTTTCATATGTATGCAATTCAGTGTCGGCACTTTCATTGAAATGACCCATGATTGGAGGAGTCTCGAGGCATCGTCGTAGCTCGCAAAAAGCTTCGTGTTGTTCTGGGGCCCACACAAAAGCAACGTTGTCTCTCGTGAGTTAGTGTGAGGGTTCTGCTATTTTCGAAACGTTCGGAACGAAGCGACGATAGCACGCACAAAGGCCAAGAAAAACGGCGTACATCATGTTTCTTCACTGGAGTTCAGAAATCAGTGACAGCCAGTGTTTTCTCGGGGGCTGGGCGAATTCTGTCACTTTTGACGACATATCCGAGAAACACGAGCTCTTCGTAGTCCAAGTGGCGTTTTTCCAACTTGAGCGAAAGGTCAGCTGTTCGGAGTGCCTTAAGTACTGCGCGAAGACGCCGAGAGTGCTGTTCGAAAGTCGCTGAAAAAATGACGACGTCATCCAAATGGACAAGACAAGATTGCCACTTGAGACCGGACAAAACTGTATAAATTATTCGTTTAAATATCGTGGGAGCAGAGCACAGTCCAAAAGGAAGCACCTTGAATTTGAAGAGCCCGTCAGGAGTAATGGGGGTGGCCTTTCCCGGTTACGCTCATCGACCTCTATTTGCCAGTAACCACTGCGTAGATCTATAGATGAAAAATATCTAGTGTTTCTGAGGTGGTCAAGTGAGTCATCGATGCGAGGAAGCGAATTAACTTCTTTCTTTGTCACGATGTTCTATTCACAATAATGAACACAGAAACGCATTGTGCTGTCCTTCTTTTTCACCAGCACAACCGGTGATACCCATGGGCTTGTAGATGGCTGAATAATATCATCAGCAAGCATTTGTTGCACTTGGTCGTGAATGGCGTCTTGTTCTCTGCGAGAAACTCGTTAATAATGTTGTAGAATAGGCCTTTCGTTGAAGCCTGTTATGATTCTGTGCTTCGCGGTGGGTGTCTGTTTGATTTTAGACGTCGCGGCAAAGCAATCACTGAAGGAAAGCAGGAGGGAGCGAAGACTCTCTTTCTGTGAAGTCGACAAGGCGCAGTTCACATCAAGCTTAACCGGAGACTGTTTGTCGTCACGAGGAGCGGAAGAGAGTTGCGCGAGCGATAAGCTGGCTCTCGAGTCTCTGATTTCTTCGAAGTAAGCGATGACACACTGCTTCAAGAAGTGCTGGTATTCATGACTAAAATTTGTTAGTGGAATTTCCGCAGACTCTTGTGTCTTTTCTATGAGACCACGGGCGACACATACTTGACGAGACAAGAGCACGGACACATTGCCTTCCACAACTCCGAGAGCCGTTCGGTTGATGTCACTCTCCACGTTAACCAGAACCCTGGAAAGGGGGGGGGGGGGGGTTCTCTCACTGAATCGTCGGATACACGCAACGCCATCATACGCGATTCGCAATCCTGAGAATGTGCGTTACGAGAAAACGTCGCCAGCCATTCTCGGAGATTTAAAATAGCCCCACATTCTCGAAGGAAGTCTAATCCCAAGATGACCTGCCTGGCGCATTCCCGCAGTACGACGAAAGTCCCGATGAAGGTCGAAGCGCCAATATGTACTCGGGCAGTGAACCTCTCAACCGGCGTCACTACATGACTACCCGTGGTATGGAGCTGCGGACTGTTCCATGGCGTCATCATTTTTCGGAGAGCAGCCACCAAGTCACCACTCGTAACGGTGTGTTCTGCGCCAGTATCTACGAGTGCGGTGGCCGACTGATTGCCGACAGTTACAGAAATATCGGCGGAAATTGCTGCGTTGCGTTCAGAAAATTTCGTGACATAGAAATCGGCGTTGTCAACGTGTCGCGGTGGAGGATATTTGTCAGTTCGGTCAACAGCGGTCCCGCCCACGGAGGCCGGTGGCCTCAGTTTTCCTAGCGTGGGCCAGGACTTGGGGACCTGTTTCGTACACCAGAGAACGTGGCGTAGCGACTATAGGCGAGCCGAGGTGCCCAGGAGAAGGTAAGCGTGGCCAGTGGCTTTGTGTCGGAGGGGACGGCTGCTGCGCTGCTAGGTATTGCTTAATCTCGCGAGGACGCTCCCCTTTTCTGGGTCGACGCGCGTTGGGGTGAAACCCCAAGAAGGCCTACCCTACGTACGCACATTGCCGGTACAGATGATCCGCTTCGCCGCAGTGGTAGCAAAGGGGCCCGTTGTCAAAGGTTCGTCATACGTATTATTAACGGGTGACTTCACACGAAACGTCATACTGGAAAGTGCTCTCGTATTTTTTTGCAGGTGCGAACTGACGGGGCGATGATAGAGGGTGGCCGTCATCCGGTAGGAGGTTGAGGACTCCTCAATGCTTCGTCGTAAGACAGAGCAGGAGCTTCCGCATGCATTGGGAGCAATGGTTGGGTCACATTCTTGGGTTCATCGCGAATGATGTCACCCGGAATTGCTATGCTAGGGTGAGTAAAAGTGGGACAAACTTTTTCGAGCTCCTCGAGAACCACACTCCGCACAAGATCGTGGAGTGCGCTGCAAGTTCGTCGCCGTCTTTCTCCAGCCCGAATCCTTCGGCACGCACAAGTAATCATGAAACTAGCCACGCAACAGCCAGAAACCCAGTACATGTTCGTGTCAATGTCAACTCTCCACTAGAAGAACTGTGTCGCTGAACAATCATTTCACCGCAACAGTTGGGATGAATTAGGGAAAAATAAGCATCATGTTTTCAAAACTTTTCATCCGGATTTCATATCACCGACATATCGCAAAAACAGAGGCTATGTACCCTACCTGAGAGGCTACAATGTCCGGGACAGCGTAATAGATAAAGAACAGTCAGTTAAAAGGTTTGACATTGTTTTTTCTGAAATAAACGTAAATAACGGCACATGCCCTATAACAATGGTTGTCAAAGCTCATTTGTACAGTGATTGAGTGCTACGAGTACACACATTATGTTTTAATTTCTCGCACATGATTGTGAAGTGCAAATCATCGCATACAAAGCACGTGGTAATGGTTACATCAAAGACAGGTTAACTGACTGCATTTTTGTTCGTCGGACTCATGACGGAAGCATAGAGGTGTAGACACTACGGTAAGACATGTGCCCATTTCGCTGTTTCAATGTCGAATTATGCATTCACACCTCCTAATCGAAAAGTTGGAGGTGGTAAGCTTTCGCCGTACATTGGAGGCAGCCAGTTCTGTTCACCATCACATCCTGGAAATATTCAAGCCACTGAAGCTGAAGAAAAAAAATCATGCTTATGTATGTTATTGTGTTGTATCCACGGCAAATATTGCCTCTGTTTGAGACGCTAGAAATGGCGAATTACAATGGGGAAACACACTTACCTGATCCACCTTTTCGCCACATTGGTAAGGAAATATGCTGGTCCGTTGGTCCTTACTCGGCTGGTACTAAAGCACAGAAGAAATCCACTGAAAAAAAAAACGACCTGGAGTCAGAACAGTAAGTGATGTCCTAATGTGTGTACAAGACATGGTAACTCCTCTCGTTAGTTCTTCGCTTTTTCGTGAATCTGTGAACGTTTTATTGCAACTTCTTGGTCTTTAGAAAGAGAAGAAGCTTTCCTTGTATAAAATAACAATTGCTGAGCTAGCATGTCAAACAACAAGAATAGTGAATACTTAATAATGTGCAAAGCCCGATGGTGCATCGCAATTTATTTGGCTCCGAAGAAGAAAAAAAAACCATTATGTGTCCCTTATGCATTCCCACAACATGATTTAAAGTCAAAAGCCATCTGTTGGGGACTTTTTGCCCCAAAACCCTAATCAACTTTCACCATTAGCCAAGTACCACTAGTATAACCCTAATAATGAAAACATTACCTCAATAATCATAGTACAATAAAAAGTAATGGGTAGAACTCTTTTTTTTATAAACGCGGTGAGTATGCTTCAGGTCGCATTTGCATGGATGCTCCGTTGACGTTCAATAGAATAGCCGCCTTTTTTACTAATATTAGCACCAGGATTGCTCTAAGACTGGGCCGGATGACAGATACGTGTACAAGGTAGTCAGGTTTTTTTCTTTCATGCACCAATAGAAAGAGAGCAGGTGAATTGAGTAGGAGGCACCAATTATACACCAAGTCTCAAGTACAACAGACAGAATATAACTGGCAGAGCTTTCGAAGTTGATTAATAGGCGTAAGGTATGCGATGTAAGAAGGTAAAACATGGCGAGAATTGAACACGCTCTGAAAAACGGAGGAAGCGTCAAAGCAGTGAAGAGGGAACTTGGGTTATGCAAAAATCGGATGTGTGCACTAAGGGACAAACAAGGTAAAATAACTACCGATATGAATAGGATTGTTAAAATGGCGGAGGAGTTTTACAGAGATCTGTACAGTAGCCGGGCCAACCATGACCTTAATACTATAAGAACTAGCATTAACCCAGATGACACCCCACCAGTAATGATAGAAGAAGTCAGAAAAAGCCTTGGAGAGCATGCAAAGAGGCAAAGCTGCTGGTGAGGATCAGGTAACATCATATCTGCTTAAAGATGGAGGACAGATTGTGTTAGAAAAACTAGCCACCCAGTTTACGAGGTGTCTCCTGACGGGAAGAGTACCAGAGTCTTGGAAGAATGCTAACATCATATTAATACATAAGAAAGGAGATGACAAAGACTTGAAGACTTACAGGCCGATAAGCTTGCTCTTTGTAGTAAACAAGCTATTTACAAAGGTAATTGCTAACAGAGTAAAGAAAACATTAGAATTCAATCAACCAAAGAAACAAGCAGGATTTCGAACAGGCTGCTTAACAATTGGCCACATTCATACTATCAATCAGGTAATAGAGAAATGCTAAGAATATAACCAACCACTATACATAGCCTTCATAAATTACGAGAAGGCGTTTAATTCAGTAGAAATATCAGCCGTCATGCAGACACTGCGGAATCAGGGCGTCGACGAAGTATATATAAACATCCTGCAAGAAATCTACAGGGGATCAACTGCTACCATAGTGCTTCATAAAGAAAGCAACAGAATACCAATCAAAAAGGGTGTAATAAGGCAGTGGGAAACAATCTCCCCAATGCGGTTAACCGCGTGCTTACAGGAGGTTTTCAGAAGCGTACAATGGGAATAGTTAGGGATAAGAGTTAATGGAGAGTACCTTAGTAACCTGCGCTTCGCCGATGACATTACATTGCTGAGTAACTCAGCTGACGAATTGCAACTCGTGATTACGGAGTTAGACAAGGAGAGCAGAAAGGTGGGTCTTAAAATTAATCTGCAGAAAACCAAAGTTATGTACAACAACCTCGGAAGAGAGCAGCGCTTCGAGATAGGTAATAGTGTACTTCAAGTTGTAAAAGACTATGTCTGCTTAGGGCAGGTAGACATAGTCTTTTATCTCGAGCCGAACCACTTGATTCAAGTAACTAGAAGAATAAGAATGGGGTGGAGCATATTTGGTAAGCACTCTCAAATCATTACAGGTTAGATTGCCACTATCCCTCAAGAGGAAGGTTTATAACAGCACTATCTTGGCGGTACTTAGCTACGGAGCCGAAACCTGGAGACTTACAAAGAGGGTTCTGCTTAAATTGAGGACGATGCAGCGAGCAATGGAAAGAAAAATGGTAGGTGTAACCTTAAGAGACAAGAGGAGAGCAGAGTGGATTAGAGAACAAACGGGGGTTAAGGATATGATAGTTGAAATCAAGAATAGGAAATGGACATGGGCTGGGGATGTAGCGCGTAGACGAGATACCGGCTGGTCATTAAGGGTAACTAAGTGGATTCCCAGAGAAAGCAAGCGGGTTAAGGGGAGACAGAATGTTAGGTGGGCAGATGAGATTAAGAAGTTTGCGGGTATAAATTGGCAGCAGCAAGCACAGGACCGAGTTAACTGGCGAAACATGGGAGATGCCTTTGTCCTGCAGTGGACGTAGTGAGGCTGATGATGATGATGATGATGGTGATGATGAATTATACTCCATACCTTCTCTCAGTGGGACTGGACAAGCCATTTTATTGCGTTTGGGTACGCAGAGTTATAGCTGCACATGTTTTTTTATGATAACGGTGACGGGACAGCCATCACGTTTCATTCAAAAAATACTTCACTTCCCAGCTTTACATCCGGAAAGCCGCGGGAACCAATGCGGCCCTTGTAAGAATCCCGTTATCACTCCACTTTTTCTGTGCATTAATTGCGGACATTGTTTTTACTACGATGGCAAATATGTGGACAGTCTCGGCTGGTTTTCGCCACAGCCGCTTATGTTTACACACACACACACACACACACACACACACACACACACACACACACATATATATATATATATATATATATATATATATATATATATATATATATATATATATATATATATATATATATATATATATATATATATATATATATATATATATATATATATATTGTAAAGAGGTTTATTGGGCGAACCAGACGGGCAGGTGGGAGATTGGAGATAGCGACAGGACGAGGAAGATGGAGGAGCTCGAGCGCTGATCTCGTAGTGCCATACTCTGCGATGATGCTTGCTGTTCCCTTTTGTTGTCATCATTCCTTCATTATAATTGCCCCCGTCGAGAAAGATCAAGCCATTTTGGTGATCTAACAAGTAGGAACGAGCGGGTCGAAGTACGGCTTCAAGCGGTCCACGTGAACAATATCGTGTCCACGCCGACGATGGTCACCGGGTGGCGTAAGCGGTTCAATGGCGTAATTGACGGGCGATGTGCGCTCTACCACGCGGTATGGGCCATGGTAATTTGAAAGTAGCTTGGTAGACAAACCAGGTGCACAGGGTGGTACATACAGCCATACAAGGGTTCCAGGGGCGAACTTGGCGGCAGGAGGGTGGTCGTCATCGCGGGCCTTTTTCTGGCGTTGCTGGTCAGCCGTAGTAAACTGCTTCGCTAGTTGGCGGCATTCTTCGGCGTGACGGGCGGCTTCAGACACGGTCGTGCACTCAGATACATCTGGTGCGTATGGCAGCAAAGTGTCAATTGTGTGCGATGGTTGACGTCCGTATAGAAGGTAGAATGGAGAAAAGCCGGTGGTGACTTGGGTAGCGGTGTTGTACGCGTAGGTCGCAAACGGAAGAACCAGGTCCCAGTTCGTTTGGTCAGATGCCACATTCGTCGCGAGCATGTCCCCCAGGGTCCGATTAAACCGCTCAGTCAGGCCATTCGTCTGAGGGTGGTAAGCAGTACTCATCCGGTGTACAATATGACACTGACGGAGAAGTGCTTGGATTACGTCGGATAGAAATACACGGCCCCGGTCATTGAGGAGCTCGCGAGGAGGGCCATGACGCAACATAAACCGATGGAGGATGAAAGATGCGACGTCCTGAGCGGTCGCCGTAGGAAGAGCAGCGGTTTCGGCGTACCGTGTCAGGTGATCTACAGCAACGATGACCCACCGGTTACCTGCTGTGGTCAATGGCAGTGGTCCATAAAGGTCGATTCCGACGCGATCGAATGGGCGGTCAGGGCACGCAAGCGGCTGTAGTGGAGCTGCCCCTGCATTCGGTGGCTGTTTTCGTCGCTGACACTCGTGGCAGCCGCGAATAAACTGTCGAACAAAAGTAAACATCCCACGCCAGTAGTACCGCTTCCTTAAACGCTCGTAGGTCTTGAAGACACCGGCGTGAGCGCATTGCGGGTCGGAGTGAAATGATGCACAGATTGTAGAGCGCAGGTTTCGGGGAATAACGAGCAGCCACTTCCTGCCGTCTGGTGAGTAATTGCGCCGGTACAAGAGGCCACCTCGAATGGTGAAGTGCGAAGCCTGGCGTCGCAATGATCGAGTGATGGGAAGTGTCGGTACCCCAAATAAGACGTCCAGAAGCGAAGTTATCCATGGATCGTCGCGCTGTGCAGAGGTCATTGTGTCGATGTCAAGAGCGGACAGCGCGTGTTCCATAGAAGATATAAAGGCAGCCTCAGTCGACAGTGGTGATCGCGAGAGCGCATCAGCATCGGCATGTTGGCGGCCGGAACGGTACACGACGCGGATGTCATACTCTTGAAGTCGCAGAGCCCAACGAACAAGGCGACCTGATGGATCTTTCAGCGACGACAACCAACATAAGGCATGATGGTCTGTAACTACAGCAAAGGTGCGGCCTTATAAGTATGGGCGAAATTTCACAATTGCCCAAAGTATGGCTAAGCACTCTTTGTCGGTAACACTGTAGTTTACCTCAGCCTTGTTGAGAGTTCTGCTGGCGTAGGCGACGACATACTCAGGGGATCCAGGCTTGCGTTGAGCGAGAACTGCACCGAGACCGACACCGCTGGCGTCTGTATGGATTTCAGTTGCAGCCGTGGGATCATAGTGGCGCAATATAGGCGGTGATGTCAGGAGACGGCGAAGAGTGGTAAATGCGTGGTCACATTCGGAAGACCATGATGAGATGTCGTTGGCACTGCTTAAAAGTTGGGTCAAAGGGGCAATTATGGAGGCAAAGTTGCGCACAAACCGACGAAAGTAGGAGCACAATCCTACGAAGCTGCGTAACTGTTTTACAGTCGTTGGTTTGGGGAATTCAGCAACAGCGCGTAGTTTAGCCGGGTCGGGAAGAACACCATCCTTTGATACGACGTGACCGAGAATGGTGAGCGTCCGAGCAGCGAAGTGGCATTTCTTGAGATTCAGTTGGAGATGCGCATTCTTCAGACACGTGAAGACATGTTTCAGGCGTACAAGGTGTGTTGCGAAATCGGGTGCAAAGACGACGATATCGTCGAGGTAGCAGAGGCATATGTTCCATTTCAAACCCCGCAGAACCAAGTCCATCATGCGCTCGAATGTGGCCGGCGCATTGCAGAGGCTGAAGGGCATGACATTGAACTCATATAGCCCGTCCGGTGTCACGAATGCTGTTTTTGGACGATCACCATCTGCTAAGGGCACCTGCCAATACCCCGAACGCAAATCTAACGACGAAAAAAACTCGCCACCTTGTAAGCAATCAAGGGCGTCATCAATCCTGGGCAAAGGGTATACGTCTTTGCGAGTGATCTTATTTAAGCGCCTGTAATCAATGCAGAAGCGAATTGTACCATCCTTCTTCTTAACAAGAACGACAGGTGATGCCCATGGACTTTGGGAAGGTCGGATAACGTCGCGCTTGAGCATATCGTCAAGGTGTTCGGTGATAACCTGACGTTCCGTGGCGGAAACACGGTATGGTCGCTGTAGTACTGGCGCGTTGGAACCTGTGTCGATGCGGTGGGAAAAACTGGGAGTTCGGCTAAGGGTAGGTTGAGCAACGTCAGAGGATTCACGAAACTGGTAGAGCAGCTGAAGGAGCTCAGAGCGTTCAGATGGCGATAGTCCGTCGGCAATCGATGAATCGAAAAGCTCGCAAGGTGGTATATTGGAAGGGTTGAGGGCACTGATGGTGTCGTAGTCACCGGAACAACCTGGCGGCATGGTAAAAATTTGTTCTTTATCAATGGCATGCACGTGTCCAAGAGATTCACCTTGAAATAGTTCAACGGGATACGGAAGGGGATTCATGAGGCAAAGAGCACTGTTTCCTTCAGAAATAGAGAGGGTTGAATAATGCAGAAGAAGTGATCTTCGACTAAGGAAGAGGCTTGATGGCTCAAAGAATGCAGCTTCGTTCCTAATGCCGTCACAGAACACGGGGAGCAACACAGCTGCTGTCGGAGGAATTTCAGTGCCTTCTTTGACGACGAGTTTGTGTACGGCGGGCTGAATGCGACTGGTTGATTGGTCGTAAAACGGGAAAAGTTCAAGCTCCGATCTTGCACAATCAATAACGGCATGGTTACGCGATAAAAAATCCCATCCAAGTATGATGCCGTGTGAGCATGACGACAGGACAATAAACTCAACAGTGTAGTGGTCCTTTGCGATCATCAGTCGGACAGTACAGGCGGCTACAGGCTGAACCGGGTCCCCATTCGGTGTTTGCAAGGACATCATATTAAGAGGCGTCGTCACTTTTTGGAGCTTGCGGCAAAGTTTAGCGTCTATCACGGAAATGGCTGCACCAGTATCCACTAGAGCATATGCTCGAGTACCTTCTACAAATCTTCGACAATATTCGACGGCAATGTCCGAGGACTTGAGCATTTCGACAGCGCAGTTCTTGCCTCCTGAACTGCGGTGGTTAGTTTTCCTCGTGTTCAGGAGCTGGCCGACGACGCATGGGTGACAGAGAGCGACGACGGGGTAAAGGTGAGCGACCAGACATAGTACGCGGACATTCCCGTGAAGACGAGCTTGACTGAGGGTCAGAATTTTCCAGACGGGATGGAGAAAGGTCCATGAAGCTGTTCTGTGTCCGGCCGTCTGTGTATCCCGGCACGCGACGACGGCAGTAACGGGCGATATGGCCAGGGCCGCCGCACGCAAAACAGATGGGCCGGTTATCGCGCGTTCTCCAAGTATTGGCGACGAGGGGACCAGTCCATGCGGCAGACGGGTGAGTCGAGGCTGTGGTGGCAATGGGAGGAACCCAGGCGGTGGACGGCTGAGTCGGGGCTGAGGTATACGGCAGTCCCTGGAACGAGGGGGGTGGTGTCGCTGCTGCCGCTTTAGTGCCTCAGCGTAAGTAAGAGGCGCGGTGACGGGGGGCTGCTGCAAGGGCACCGGCATAGCCTCGGAAATCTGCTCCTGGACCACATGTCGGAGCATGGGAGCCAATGGTGGTGGATGTCGCAGTGGCTGTTGGTGCGAGAGCTCCTGGCGTTGAGCAAGAGGCAGCAGAGAAAGCTACCGAGCCACTTCCTCTCGCACGAAGTCTTTCATTTGTGCGAGAAGGTTTGTCTGGTCAGTCATAGCGTCCAGTGCGGTCACTGGTTGGATTGTCTGGAATGAGCGTCGCGTCTGAGCTCGTTGCCTCCGCAATTCATCATAGCTTTGGCACAAAGTCACTACTTCTGCCACAGTGCTTGGAGACTTCGCGAGAAGCATGTGGAAAACGTCATCGTCGACGCCCTTCATAATGTGCTGTATCTTCGCACTCTCGCTCATGGAAGCATCGACGCGCCGGCAGAGATCAATCACATCTTCTATATATGATGTAAAAGTTTCACCTGGCTCCTGTGCCCGTGTGCGCAGACGTTGTTCGGCGCGTAGCTTCCGTAAGGCAGGACGACCAAAAACGGCACGTATTGCCTCCTTGAAGGCGGACCAATTCGCGAACTCGGTTTTGTGGTTCGTATACCACAGCTTGGCCACGTCGGTGAGATAAAAATTGACAGTGCCTAACTTAGCAGCGTCATCCCACCTGTTGGGTCCACTGACTTTCTCGTATGACGACAGCCAGTCCTCGACGTCCTGGTCTTCGGTGCCGGCAAAGATCGGGGGGTCTCGCTGCTGAGCCGGGCCGGGGCAAGCAGCGGCCGCGAGAGGTATTGTTTGTTGGGCAGCGTCGACTTGCATGGTCGACGGCAGGGTGCGAGATCGGAGTTCCAGGTTGTAGGCGATGTGGTTACCCAGCACGATCCACCAAATGTAAAGAGGTTTATTGGGCGAACCAGACGGGCAGGTGGGAGATTGGAGATAGCGACAGGACGAGGAAGATGGAGGAGCTCGAGCGCCGATCTCGTGGTGCCATACTCTGCGATGATGCTTGCTGTTCCATTTTGTTGTCATCATTCCTTCAATATAATATATATATATATATATATATATATATATATATATATATATATATATATATATATATATATATATATATATATATATATATATATATATATATATATATATATATATTGCGCTCACTATAAAGACCTAAAGACCTCGGTTTGTGAAAAGAACGTGCTTTTCCAACACAGGGAACTGACACCTGTGACAGTTTCAACTTGTCCCGAGTACGTTTCGAGCTCCTTTTGTGTTTGACCAGCGCTTTAAGTGTCGAGTCCTGGACGTTGTCAGCACGCACTCGTCTTGTGCATCTTCTTTTTGTGCGTCATTTGTGCTTGAGCAGCGCTCTGCACGTTTTGAACTGCTTCGCGTTCTTCGCGTGACATTCCAACTCATTGCACAGCTTTTGGGGCAAAACTGACACTTTTTTTTGCGGGCTTGACTACTGAAGGAAGGGTGAGGGCTGCCTTAAAATCGTCCTCCTGCCCCTCTTCCCTTCCATATAGAAAATCCTGCGCACGTAGTTCGTTCACTCTCCAATCACTCACCTCCGATGACATCAATAACAAAAAAGCGCAATGATCTATCGCCTACCATGTGGAGTGCGCTGCAGTGAAGACCACCGCATAATACCATACCCTTTTTCGTCAAGTTTTCGTGCTCCGTGAAAACAACTTACCTGAGAAAAAAGAAGGTTCCGACGAAGTTTGACCCGGCTGCTACTAACATGTGGCTCCATTCGTCGGAATCAGCGAAGGGTGTCTGCAAACTTGCTAATATAAAAATAAAAATGAATATTCCTCTAGTAGTAGTGCACAGTAATAGATGCACATGCAACACGATTTCAGTGCACAGTAACTGATGCACGTGTAACATGATACTTTTATCAAAACACGGTATTTAGGTCTGCAGTTTCTGCCCTTGATGTGGCACGTGATTCAGAATCAGACGGCAGCACAGGCGTGTCGGACATTAAACGAATGACAGACTTGCCTAGGAAACGTGAATATTTTCACAATGAGGTTCACTAGTAATTCTTTCCTATGTTAACAAATGAGGCGTACAGAAGCCCTATTCTTCGTTCTCTTTCTTCCTCCGTGTTTTCGCATGTTATTCGCCGAGTGACATGTAGTGGCTAGACTCGCTACCAAGTAGCGAATTAAATCCTTCCCGCAAAGACATCACATCAGATCTGAACACAACGATTTTCACTGCTCCTGGGGTTCAGCTTAAGCTATGCGAAATAGAAAGCGAAAGCCTGAAGCATACTTACACCAAGAGTCCGACAGGCAGGTGTAGAAGTGACACATCACAATGTGCACGACGCACACGAAACGCAAGCCATGCAGGAACTGCATGGCGTACTGGTCGGCGTTCGCCTTGTCAGCCACTCTGAGAAGATCACGAGTGTTCGACGTGGCTGAGAAAGCCAGAATGGTTTGTATAAGTGAACCTGCAAGAAGTAAGACGCATGAGTGGTGCCACGCTGTACATTTGTGACAGTTGCTCGTAGAAAGCATTCGCTTACCGTGACAGTTATAACATAGAAGCTGTTTGCAGATAATTGTCTGTCGGCGAACGCAATCAGTGCTACCTCATTTAAAACCAAAAATGATTATCAAAGAAGGTATTGACACTTATTTTTTAAGCTCAGTTCATTCTGCCATACGAAAATCATAACATATTCACGGAGTGAATGATGATGAGTGGGCGAAGCTCCAGTGGTACATAGGCAACTCGTGAATCTCACTCGCAGTCGCTCAAGAGTTTCAGGGAGCCTGTCTCAGCGTACATCCGCAGCAGAAAGCATGAGGAACGCGTGTGGTTGCTATGCCGGCGAATCATAGCAAAGAGTTCTTTGCGGAATTCTTGCCAGTATTGCACGGTGTTGGGTACTTCCCGAATGAAGGCCATGTCTCGATCGAGCCCCTAGTCCATAAACTCGCGCCAACCGCTCTCAAGTTGCGGCCGCTTGAACGAGCTGGTTATAGGGGCAAGCGCCACAGTGCCATCTAGTGAGCAATCCGGGAACTAGGGGTGGCTACGACAAACATCGGTGGACAAGCCCACACAAATAAGAAACTTCGCCCATAAGAATCTTCTCAATAAAGAGTTGTTTCTGTGCTTGTTTGAATAAAAAAAAAACTGCTGATAGGATACTTCATCATGGCGTTACAGCCAATCTTTGCATGTTTCACCTACTGACATCGGCATTAGCCTGACGTGAGGCTACCGCACCAACTCGGTCGAATTCCCGTCTGTGTCATAAGCTTGCATAGTGATGTTTATTTCTTTGTTATAAAATTAAATTGCCATCACTACAACGAACACTGAAGTTCCACCTGCAGAATGTGTTCTTTCAAAACAGTTTCAAGACTTGGCACGACGCTGCGGTAGAATGACCGACTGCCACGCAGAACACTTAGGTTCGGCTCTTGCTGAGATCGCTATGTTTATTTAATTTGCCCTGGCCCCGCCATGGTGGTCTAGTGGCTAAGATACTCGGCTGCTGACCCGCAGGTCGCGGGATCAAATCCCGGCTGTGGCGGCTGCATTTCCGATGGAGGCGGAAATGGTGTAGGCCCGTATACTCAGATTTGGGTGCACGTTATAGAACCCCAGGCGGTCTAAATTTCCGGAGCCCTCCACTACGGCGTCTCTCATAATCATATGGTGGTTTTGGGACGTTAAACCCCACAAATCAATCAAATAAATCAATCATTATTTAATTTGCCCTCGTCGGGTCTAGGCAGCCGACGTCAGTTTCTCTCAGGGCTCTCCCATTAAGGCTAATAATGCATGTCTTGTCCATTTCGGGGAACTTGTAAAGCCTCAATCACCCATGGCGCATACCCACGCACCATGATGTTTCGCATACGGGTACGCGACACACGTGTGTGGTGGAATGGGTTAGACGACGTGTATGACAGGATTTTCACGTTATCTATGTCGATAGCAGACAGTCATACTCCGCAATCTCTGTTATTCTCTTATACCAATTTAGGTCTATGCAAAGAAGAAGTGATCACTAGAGCGCCCAGGCGCATGAAGGAATAAAAAAAAAGAGGAAGCGTTACGTCGCACGAGCGAAGCCTACCTTGTCGGCCCTACAGGTGATCAAAACGTCAGAGCCTGTGGTATGATTTAGCACTATCGGTGCTGTTTCGTCTTTGAACCACCTGCGGGAGCCGATTGGTCAACGCCGAACCAACGCGTTTCGATTGAAAGCTACTGAGCGCCGTACTCCGCAGCTTGACCCACTGTACTCGCTACCTGCCCAGATAGCAGGGTTCTTATAGGAACACGTGTCTCCGCTCCCGTTCAACCGCTCACCGTTGGTGGCGCTACCTATAACCTGTTCGTCAGCTACGTTACAGTTACTTTAAAGGCGCTGGAGTAAGAATGCCTGAATTCCGTAGTGAACTGCCGGCATATATGTCACTATTTCTTAACTTAAATGGTTTGTCAAGTAAGCTGCTTGGTGAGTATTCAGTGCACACTGGTTGACAAACGTGCGAGCCCATAGACTTAATGGTGTAGGACAGCCTATGTAATGTCGCTTCCATTTATTTGCAAAAAAAATTCTGAATGACTTCCAATATATTTACTTCTGAATTACTTTTTATTTGTGGATAATAATCACGCACTATGAGAGCTCTGTTGGCCAAAATATGACCAAAAACGTTGAAAGTGACGTCAGCGAACAGGTGCTGACTACGCCTTGCCGCTCGTAGGTTACCACCCTAGCGGCAGAAGGTATCACCTAGAACGTGGGTGCTAGAGAGGGGATCTCTGGACAGGTCAGGAGTAGAGTAGGTCGTGCTCCGAAGTACCACAAAGTCTAGTCATCATCATCTTCATCATCATCATCAGCCTGACTACGTCCACTGCCATACAAAGACCTCTTCCATGTTCCGCCAGTTAACCCGGTCCTGTGCTTGCTGCTGCCAATTTATACCCGCAAACTTCTTAATCTCATCTGCCCACCTAACCTTCTGTCTCCCCCTAACCCGCTTCCATTCTCTGGGAATCCGGTTAGTTACCCTTAATGACCAGCGGTTATCCTGTCTACGCGCTACATGCCCGGCCCATGTCCATTTCCTCTTCTTTATTTCAACTATTATATCCTTAACCCCCGTTTGTCCCCTAATCCACTCTGCTCTTTTCTTGTCTCTTAAGGTTAATCGTACTATGGTTAATCGTACTATGGTTAATCGTACTATGGTTAACCATGGTACTATGGTTAATCGTACTATGGTTAAGGTTAATCGTACTATGGTACGATTAACATACAGAGAGACATGTTTATAATACCGCCTAACTATAGGTCCCAACGCGTGGACCATGAGCGAAAAGTAAGAGAGGTTCTATGCCGCACGGAACTTTTTAAGAAATCTTTCTTTCCAAAAACAATCCACGACTGGAATAGGTTACCTGCTGACATCGTCAACGTAGTTTCGAATGAGATGTTTTTTGCCCTGCTGAAATGATTGTTTCTTTGATCTTTTTAAGACGTACTGTATGTATTACTGTTCTTATCTTTTGTTCTTCTTTTCTTTTGTCCTCACACTGTATGCAGAAGGGAATTGTGGCTATACTCCGATATCAAATCACTTATTTTTCCTGTTGAAGTGACTCAACCTTGTAGTGTTCTTGTTTCTCACATATACTGCATACTGCTGTGAATAACTTATGTTGTCGATCTGCTGTAGCTGTTGTTGTTGCTATTGCCGTTTTCCACGCTTTATATATGACAAAATATTGAACTGTCCAGACTGACTGTAAACCCCTCCCCCACTGTAATGCCTCTGGCGCTGTGGGTACTAAATAAATAAATAAATAAATAAATAAGGTTACACCTACCATTTTTCTTTCCATTGCTCGCTGCGTCGTCCTCAATTGAAGCTGAAACCTCTTTGTAAGTCTCCAGGTTACTGCTCCGTAGCTAAGTACCGGCAAGATACAGCTGTTATATACCTTCCTCTTGAGGGATAGTGGCAATCTACCTGTCATGATTTAAGAGTGCTTGCCGAATGTGCTCCACCCCATTCTTATTCTTATAGATACTTCAATCTCGTGGTTAGGCTCTTCGGTTATTACCTGCCCTAAGTAGACATAGTCTTTTACAACTTCAAGTGCACTATTACCTATCTCGAAGCGCTGCTCCTTTCCGAGGTTGTTGTACATTACTTTCGTTTTCTGCAGATTAATTTTAAGACCCACCTTTCTGCTCTCCTTGTCTAACTCCGTAATCATGAGTTGCCATTCGTCCCCCGAGTTACTCAGCAATGCATTGTCATCAGCGAAGCGCAAATTACTAAGGTATTCTCCATTAACTCTTATTCCTAACTGTTCCCATTCTAGGCTTCTGAAAACTTCCGGTAAGCACGCGGTAAATAGCATTGGAGAGATTGTGTCCCCCTGCCTTACACCCTTCTTGATTGGTATTCTGTTGCTTTCTACGAAGTCTAGTAGCTGGTGTTATTTTGCCCTAAAGGTCGCGTGTTGGGCCGGTAATGCTGGCTTGAAAACAGCACGCCTTGCCAAGGCTGCCCACGTGATGTCACGCTCCCCTCTTCGTTCTTTTTTTTCTCCTTTCCCAGAAGTATGCAGCTAGATAGATAGATAGATAGATAGATAGATAGATAGATAGATAGATAGATAGATAGATAGATAGATAGATAGATAGATAGATAGATAGATAGATAGATAGATAGATAGATAGATAGATAGATAGATAGATAGATAGATAGATAGATAGATACGCCCAAAGCGCCTGCGCTTGGCTAAGAAATTCTTCGCATTCAAAAGAGACACTTTTGACAACCTCCTGTAAGTAAGAAGGAAATAATACAATAAAATTGATAATGATAAGATAGTCAACGTACTCCTTTTTCCATTTTCTGGCGACCTGGTTCGTATGATGTAATCTGTTGCGGTGGCGGATATTATGAGGACCACAAGAACGCCTAGAAAAGACCTGCATTTTAAAAGAACGTTTATGCTATACAGTTGTGCACACACGATGCGTTATTTGCTCACTTCTATATGCCACTCTTGACTAGTGCCTGGAAGGTAGCGGGAAAAAATGCCGGCCGACGCGGACGTATTTCTACGAATTCACAATGCTGTATACCCGTGTGGTTTGATTTGCCTACTTTTTCAAGAACCCTAAGTCGGTGAAATATGCTGAGCCCTCCACTACTTCATCTTTCACAATCATGTGACGTAAAAGCCTGATCATTTTATGGTGCACCACCTATCATCATCATCATCATCATCATCATCATCATCATCATCATCATCATATTATTATTATTATTATTATTATTATTATTATTATTATTATTATTATTATTATTATTATTATTATTATTATTATTATTATTATTATTATTATTATTCATTGTTTCATATTGTTGCGACTGCCTTCAAATATAATTATCTTCCACTGTCGTTGGTACAGGGAAAAAAATCCTTTACCGTAGGTAGCGATCAATATTGGACACATGATATGCTCAAATTTGCTTGAGTCTGCTATGCTTACTAAAGTTTCAGTATACACATGACCTGCTTGTGGATAACTAGCATGGCGGTCAACCCTTTCTTTTCAATTATCGTGAGGAAACGAAGGTAACTAATACAACATGGCAGACAAAAGGTTAAATATGTAGTAACTCAGCTCCAGATGCAATGACAATCAGGAAAGCCCGTACGTAACAAGATTAATTGGTAAAGCTGCAATACATGTATTACTCTTAGGCGGTAGTATATATATATCGACGTATCGTATTCTATGCGAACGACATTTTTCTTAGTTCCTTCAGAACACAGGATGTAAATTATTCCCTATTTCTGTGAAATGTCCCCGCGTTCAGTCACCATAAAGTCACAAAACATTCAGACTCCAAGTGCAGCGGCCTCTGGCGGGAATCTCACACTTCTAATTTGTTTCGGGATACCCTCCAAGCTCCACTGTGAAAGCACAAGGAGACTACTTACGTGATTGCAATTTGCGTTTCAGTCCAAGGTTCCGGTTCAGCTGTGACACAATGGGACACTTGGACACTAATCATCGAAGGTGGATTCACTGGAGGTATAAAGTGGTTTACACGCATCAATGAAAAAAGATTTACATGCACGTGTTTTGCATTTGTTAGCGTGAAATAGAACAATTTATAGTGGCTTCCATGCTGCTAAAAGGAAACATTTATCATTTTGATTTTTACATGCGTATCCCCTGTTTGAAAAAAGAAACATGCATAAAAGTGGCCTTTCAATTATTCTGCTCTGCCATACATATTGATATTCGTTAAGCACGAGTTTCAGTATATAGTTCGAGTTCTGAGTTTCCGACAGTTTGAGCAGCCTTCATGTTGGTGCTGTTGGTGCTTCATGTTGGTGACCTGCTGGCGGCAAGTAGATAGATAGATAGATAGATAGATAGATAGATAGATAGATAGATAGATAGATAGATAGATAGATAGATAGATAGATAGATAGATAGATAGATAGATAGATAGATAGATAGATAGATAGATAGATAGATAGATAGATAGATAGATAGATAGATAGATAGATGCCCTACTAATAACGGCACCTGTCCTACTTCAAACATAGACCAGGCCCTAGTTAAACACGCTGGGACTCCTCTATTACACGCATTATTGTCGAGATAGCTAAGCCTACATTTTCCATGTTTTAGTGCAAGTAAGCTACGCTTGAACACTCTCTTTGCAGAAAGTGACTGCAAACATTAGTAGGGCAAATTGCATAGCAGAAAAGCTAGCTTTACAATTATAAAAATGGTCTATTGTACGATCGTCGACTCTGTGTGCAGATGCTGCACACAGAGTCGACCTCCTATTTCGTCGGGTCACAAGGAGGTAAAAGCCCTCTTCCGCTTTTTTAGTACTATGGACCCATGAGAATGCCTTTAACTTTTGCAGAGTACCACCACAGCATACGTGTCAGCCTATGTACTAGCGCTTTTCTCCTCCCTTCCTCTAGTCTTTCCTCCGTCCCTTTCTTTTATACTCCCCTTTTCCCTTCCCCCCGTCTATGGTAAAAAACCGAGCACGTACCTGGTTAACCTCCCTGCCTTCTTTCTTGTTGTTCTTTCCTACCATTATCTCTTCTCCATAATATTTGGTCGAACGAATGAAACAAGCCCTTAAAGCTCTTTTCTTGATTAATGGCCACTGGATAAAAAACGAAGTGCAGCCGCTTGCGTCACGTCGCCGCCAATGGGCGAGCGCGTCTGGGCAGAGTTGGCAGTTTTGATCGCATTGATGGGGAGGGCGCTGATGCTCCACCCGTCAAAGCGGATGGCACTTCGTGTTTGAATGTGGTTGCGTTAGGATTTGTGCGTGTCGGTGTGCTTTTGCGTGTGCTTTCTCGTGCATATTTTGTGTGCGATCGCGTGCTTATTCCCCTGCGATCTACAGCCTCAAAAAGCGTATCGGGATGCTCATTATTCATAACAGAGCACTTATTTTTGTCACAAACGAGTGCTGAAGCAGACGTGCACCGTTGCCTCCAGACCACAGCATCAATTCACCGTGCTAAGCGGTTCCGGTGCTCTCGCGGTACTTTTCGGTGAGCCGCTACGTCAGCCCTTAGAATTTGCCCAACGATTGCCTCCCCATGAACTTAATCAGTGGCCCTTTTCATTTCATAGGGTGAGTCAAAGGGGCAGCATTTATGGACAGTATTGAAGCTCATACTCCACGAATGATTGACCCTCCTAGGCCGAACTTTTCACATATGTGGTGCAATAAGCACTCCTAATAACAATTTAGAATCGAACCTGCGATGTGCAGCTACGAAATGCGTTATTTATGGTCTCCCTGTTTTGCTTAAAAAGTCGTGTGAAAGCGTATATCCTGGGAGAAGCGCTGGCGCCAGGGTGGGCGCAAAGGGTACTAGGCCCGTTCCGTCGCTTCGGCGGCACGCAGCAGGCCGCACCTTGTTTTTTATTCAGTGGCCACGCGTTTGGTATGTTCAATACGGCACTGCTTACGATGTTAGGCAGGCTATAGAAAGTGTAAGTCAACACGTTACGAGCGACTACAAAATTTAGACAATTCATGCTCCACCTATACATTGCACGCAGTGAAGCTGCTGTCGATGCCCCGAAAAAAAAAAACGTGAGGCATGACAATATTCAGGAGAAATATTTTTTTTTTACTTAACGTACGTGAGTCGACCAGAACTTGTAGGTCGCGTTGGCCACATTCCTTTACGAAGCAAATTCCAAGGCGACAGACTGTCACTCCCTCTACTGTGAAGTAGTCCTTGAAGTATTGAAGCTGGAACAAACAGTAATCTTTTCAATCAAAAGACATTTGTTAAAGCAAATGAATATTTTTGGAGTTGAATTTTTATTTGCGAAATGTTTGAATATGTGACCGCATGTGACCGCATCAATGTGACCGCATCACAACAATGTGACCGCATCAGAGAGTTATCACAATCTGCCACGTTCAGCTCAGAGTTGAAAATGTCCAGAAGATCTGACCTGCAATACAGCCTCCAAGTCACTGTAATTTCTGCTTTTTAGGTTCTCAGTTTCCATCAATCGACGTGCCTGCTGCTTGTTTTTCTGCTGAAACTGGTCCTTCTATCAAAGCGCTGACCAACAAAGTTATTTTCATGGATATAATTTGATGAGCGCCTATACACTCATATCCAAACCATTTGTGTGCGAGATAATAAATAATATTTATTTTCCATGTATCATGGGTTTTTTTATATAAACAATCTTTCTTACTTTTTGAATATTATTTGTTGCTAATGGTATGCAACTAAATCCAGTTCGGGTGATCGGAATAAATACCGGCCGTGGCAGCCCCATCCTTGATGAAGGTGAAAACGCTCGAGTCACATGTGCTTACACTTTGGTGCACGTATAGATCCCTGAGTGATTGAAAGTTCCTCAGCCCTCCAACGGCATCTATCATAATCGTACAGTGTATTGGGTTGTTAAACCCAACAATAATAAGCTACTTTTGGGTTATCTGAATAAAACAGTCGGTAAACTGGGTTTATCCTTCCACAATATAGGTTGTACCTAAGGAAGCTCTTAACGTCGAGAATCATTATTGCGTTGATTATTCATAATTTCAGAGATAAACCAAATTCCCCCCTGGGTATGCTACTAACCAGACTTCTACATGTTACTGAAAACTGTAACCAATTACATTTGGAGTTGAACCGTAAAAGGTACCCTGCCACCAATACAATTACAGCCTAAAAATGTAGAAAAAATTACCCTATATTATGTGTTTACTTCATGGACATTATTTTTTTCTAACCTCAATTTTTTAATTGATGTACAACATTGCATGTACACATCTGGAATGACATAGAATGCCAGGTCACTGGTGATCTAGTCCGAAAAACGGGTATCTCAACGTACATAAACTGAAATTTTATGCAAGGTCACAGATGACTGAAGAAATTTGGCACGTGTAAAATATGTGGCCAACTGAACAGCCGACACAAACTTAAAAGCTCAAACCGACGTTTATTAGCGCCTGCATGAGCCCAGAACGTAAAAAGAACGATGTGTCGTCGTCTTCTTCGAACAATCTTCCAAGCTCGCTCCCCTGCAATTTTTCTTCTTCTTATGCCACCAGCGCGGGAAATTCAACATTCTCGTCCGCGCAGTGGTGTCGCGCCTGTAGTTATTGCGGGTACAGTCTTTGTATTGCCCTCGTAGTCACAAAGCCGTCTTGTCGTTTTATCTTGCACGAGCGAACGTGATCATCGTCTCCTACGTAGACTTCCATCAACCTTGCGAGTTGCCACGTTTGACTTGGAAGGTTTTCAGCATGTATACGAGTACAACATCACCTAACTTATTTTTTTCACACGCATCCTGTCGCAGAAGTGCGCTGATTTTAGTTGGAGCAAGTACTCTTTGTTCCATCGCTTCCAAAAGTTTTCTGTCGGGCGCCTTCTGTACTGAAGTCTCCAGGTGGCTTCCTTACGCGTCGAAATCTCCGTTTCCTCGATGCTGCCTTGTGGTATCACCGTGAATCTTCGGCATGGTTGGCCGTTTTGGGATTCAATAAATGTGAGAGGTCCTGAATTGACAATGGCTTCAACTTCCGTGATCACCGTCATAAGTTCTGCGGAATCGAGGCAGGCTCTTCGAAGAATCTTGCCAGGTGGTGTCTTCACAGTTCTTACTAGCCACTCTTACCATCCACTCCACCAAGGAGCGTTAGGCACAAAAAACTTCCACTTTATGCTTTTACTGGTCAGGTGTCCGGTGATATCAGCTTGTAACGGCATGTTGCAAAGCTTTCGCAAGTCTCCTGACGTTTGCTTAAAGGCATTCGCATTATCTGATTAGATGACCTGGCAGAGTCTCCATCTGGCACAAATGCAATGTAAGGCCATCCAGAATGCCTCGGTTGTGATGCTGGACACAAGTTCTAGGTTGATCGTTCTTGAAGGGGCACACGTGAATAGAGCGATGTAGTTTTCGGTCTCCCCTAGGTGTTTTCACAGAGAGAGGTGCCACGAAATCTACTCCAACCACTTCAAATGCGTGTGTTGGAGTCACGCGATGCTTTCCGAGAGGAGCTATGGGAGCGTGCTCTGGGGCAATGGTATATCGTTTGCACAAGTAACATGCTCTCGTCACTTTTTTTTAACCAGACTTCGTGCTTTGCACACCCGGAAGCACTCTCGTAACGGAGCAAGGGTATCACGCGTTCCTCCATGTAGAACTTCGCAGTGAGCTCGGATTACTAGTAGACTTGCAAAGTGATAATCACTTGTCAGTATAGTCGGGTGACCTCCAGAAGATTCCATCCGCATCAAGCGCTCTCCAACCCGAAGTATCTAATTTTCGTCTCGGAATGGGTTGAGGCCTGTGATAGACCATGTTTTGTCGATAGAACGCTCTTCTACGAGAGCTTTGATTTCTGCGCTGAGAAATGCATCTTGTACGTGTCGAATTCAGTACTGCTCCATCCCCGACAGCTCCTCTGCAGTGAGGGGACCAGTTTGTTTGTCGTAGCCTTGATGCTTGTAGCCATGGACGAACTTCTGCACCCCTTTTGTAACTCTCAGAAGCTTGTCAAGTCTACTGAAGCGCTCTACTGCAAGTAGAAGAGGCGAGGCTTGAATGGTAAGGGATACTTGAACAGTGACTTTCTCCCAATTCACGAGTTCATCTTCTGCTGTTCACACTGGTTGTGATGCCCACATGCATTCCGGCTCTTGAAGCTAGTTATAGGCCCATGCCACCACAATGGGCTTTTAGCTACCTGGTGGACAGATACTCCTCGCGTCAGCAAGTCTGCGGGGTTCTCATTACCAGGGCAATACTTCCAAGCGGAAGGCTCGGTTGACTCTTGTTTTTCAGTGACTCTGTTGCGAACAAACTGTTACCACTTCTGTGCATCCCCTCTAAGCAAGGAAGGCGTTATTGTTGAATCCGTCCAGATTATTTAACGCAAATGGAAGCCCATAAGTGCACTAGATATGAAAGTCACCAACCTTGCTCCTATCAATTCCCCTAGAAGTTCTAGATGAGGCAAAGTTACCGTGTTCAGGGGCGCAACACGTGACTTGGGGATTAGTAAGTGGGTTCGTCTTGCTTGGTCAGCCAAAATATAGGCCAGTGTGCCGTACGCAAAGGGACTTGCATGGCCAAAAACGTGCACTTCTAGTTCGTGGTGTGTGTTGCTGTTGAGGTAGCACAGAGCCTTAATTGGCTGAAGCGTTGTCAGCTGTTTCTCCCAATCTTGCCATTCTTCTCGTAAATCTGGAGAAAAGAAATCGTCCCAGGTAATTCCGTGAGTCCAGATTTTCTGAAACGATATTCGTACGGACAACGTGCATGATGCGACAAATTCCATCGGGTGAAACACTCTTGACGCTGTTTGTAGTAGAAACGTTTTCGTGTCTGCTATTTTTTTATTAAAGGCGAAAAGATTGGTCATTGAGAAGCTGAATTCTTCGCTCTGGGGACTCCATAAAAGTCCCAGTACTTTAATTGAAGCTTCGTGAAGTACAATAATCTCTTGGCTGGTTGATCGGTTTTCACCTTCCAACAGGTTCATAAGCTTCGTGGAGTTTGTCGTCCATTTGCGGAGATTTATTCCTGCCGAGAGCATGAACTGTTGCGCCTATTTACAAAACTCGGCAGGTTTGTCGTCCGTATCAGTTCCTGTCACTAAGTCGTCGACGTAGAATGATTCACTCAATGTCTTGGCAGTCGAGCCCATACTCGGTGGTGTTGTTCTAATGTGATGAAAAATGGTTGCTGTCAGCAGAAGTGGGCTGCAGGTCACTTGAAATGTGATCTGGTCGTTCTCCCTTCCTGAAGCTGCTTTCGTTGAAACTCGGCAACATCGCCTTCTTCAAACCAGAGAAATCGAAACGCATCTCTGTCCTCTTCTTTTATTGAAATCTGAAGAAAAGCCTTCTCGATATCCACCATTATGGCAATGGGGTGCGTTCTGAAGCGCAGCAATATTCTTAAGAGGTCTTGGTACAAGTTGTCACCTTTCTCTAAGCACTAGTTGAGTGACTTGCATCCTCATGCCCTCGACGACGCGTCGAAGACGACTCACACCTTTGTTGGCAAATCCTGTTCTCACATAACTCCTTTATGTTGCATGTATTAAACTTTGGCTGGAGTTGTAAGTAAGTCCTTTACTACTTCTGCATGTCCTGCTAGCATATAACCACGTGTCGTGGTGTCGCAAGTCTTCAGGAGCCTCTCTCTGCTACATAAGCGGATCAAAAGTTTCTTCAGTCTGGTAGTGGCGACTTTCTTGTTTTCATGTAGTTTCAAGCCAATTTTCCAGTGCAATGACACTTCGTATCTGCCTCCCCGAGCGCTATTGTTTCCTCGATGGGTAGCATAGTTGAGCTCATCTTGATCTCTTTGTTTGCGGTATCAGATATGCCGATACTCTGTTGTTCCCAAAATGACCGGATTAGTTCTTTGTCAACCTCTACTTGAGTCTTCAACACGCATACCATGGCGCGGGAGTCAAGTGACTTTGACGACGAGTGTCCTGTGCTCCCTTGAAATGTCCATCTAAACATCGAGTTCATAGCAATGGGTTTTCCCACGCTTTCCGGTCTGTGCATTGCACCTCTCAACACCGCCCACATCTGGTCCAAGCCAATCAGCATGCTTATTCCGTTTTCCTTCTCAATGGATCAGTGCAGCAGCTCGTCGGCGATATTGTGTCCGGTTTTCCTGAATGATGCAACGAACACCGAAGTCATCATGCTGTCTGATATGTCTTGGCAAATGTGGGGTATCTCGATAGCTTTCAGTGTCACTTACACGTCGAAGTGCTGACTTCTGAGGTGAAGCTCTACGATGCGAAATCTTTTCGGTGTGCAACTGCTGACGTTCTCGAGAAATTTTCGCTGGTTTTTTCCGCCTTTTCTATTGAAGTCATCTGCAGTAACGCTGAAACTCCTCTCCACTGGCGAACTAGATGAATGTGCGGTGTTGCACTACACGAATACTTCGCACACCAGTTCGTTATAGGGCAGTGCGTCAATGAATACCTCCGAGTCCTCAGTCATCGTACAAGCGACTTGCTTCATTGCCTTTGTTGCTTGAAAAAAGGCCCAAGAACCTGACGAGATCATCTACAGCGGAATTCTTTGAAACATTCGAAGATATAGTGATATTGTGATTTTGAATTTTGTCATCGACCTTAGCTAAAAAATAACAAACACTTCACAAAGATTGTTACTCCCCAAAATAAGTAAGTGAACGTTAATCCTTCGTTAATCCGTTAATCCGTAAGTCGCTAATCTGGCCCAAACTAGAATACGCATCACCCATCTGGAGCCCTCACCAAGTTTATCTGATCAACGCTATCGAAGCAGTTCAAAATCGTACCGCTCGCTTCATTCATTCTTCTTATTCTTACGATGTCAGTGTTTCATCCCTTAAAAATGAATCCGGTTTATTAAGTCTTTCCCTTCGCCGCAGAATTGCTACGTTGTCACTTTACCACAAGTTGTATCACAGCTCACTCCACCAACCACCTTACATCGCTCCCACCACACGCATTTCTCCCCGCACTGGCCACCCACCTCAAGCCTTCCGGCCCCGATCTGGCACCTCAACATTTTCTGCATAATTTCTCTGCCGCGCCGCCAAAGAATGGAATGACCTTCCCCACGATGTTGTTTCAATCACCTGTCCATCACGTTTTATTCAAAGTGTGTCAATGCATCTGCAATGTTAACCTGTGGCTTTTGTATCTTTGTTATACAACCCACCCCTTATGTAACGCCCCCCCTGTGGGGTCTTTAAGGAAATAAAGTGAAAGTGAAAGTGAAAGTTTAAAAATATGTAATGGGCGCACGGAGGAACCACTGGTTGTCAGAATCTTTTGAGTTCTCCACTGCATTGTCTTTCAATATTCAATCGAGGTTTCAAAGCGTGAAATTCAACAAACTCGATTATTATTATTATTATTATTATTATTATTATTATTATTATTATTATTATTATTATTATTATTATTATTATTATTATTATTATTATTATTATTATTATTATTATTATTATTATTATTATTATTATTATTATTATTATTATTATTATTATCAACACGTTTCTTACAAGATTGCAAGTAGGCTATTATCGCATCGCGTTAGTCTTTCTTTCAAGTGTGCCTGGAAATGACATATTTTTGTGTATTTTGTGCGTAACACCTGTAGCGCATTAGTTTCGCAGCTAAACCACAAACATGGATAAAACGCTGAAACTGTTTCCTACCTTTGGGTGCAGTACGTCCTTCAGAGCCTCAACAGTGGTTTTCACGGCTGTGCCATTCTTGATGTAAGCGATCACATTGCAATACTGCCCTTGTGTGATGAGGTTTCCACTTTTGTCGTGCACCACTGTTTCGAGGCACTCGTCGAAGGCCCCCATGTTTGCTCGTGACACTTGTAAAAGACCCGTAGGGTAAATGGCTGAGGCGTCGAAAACTGCAGGTGGAAATAAAATAACGCTCTTAGAAATAATGACTTGAACGGGGAGCAATGTTTGTCTGTTACGGCAAAGTCTCGTTCACAGCGGCGATTAGCGCAAGTTGCGTGACGAAGTTAGTCTCTAAATGAGTGATTACCAATGGCCGCGTTGGTCGCGAAGCGACTACTTTTTGCCACTGTCGCTCACTGCTCGGTTTTAGGTACGAAGCACTTTAGGGGCTCGACTTGTCGCCGTCGGGTGTCGTCATTGTGTGTCATGCAGTCGCAGTCCATCGTAAGACGGGTATGCGTGACGAAAACTAAATAAATCACACTGCTTGCCAGTCGCCACCGCTACGCTAAAAGGGAAGGCGAGAGTCATCCCAACAGATGGGCGACGACGTTCGTTGAGCTGAAACGCCCTTCCTTGCATGCCGTGAAACCGGGCATGTAAGAAAAAAGAAGAAGCATTTTAGGGTAGCCTTCATCTCAATGCAGCTTTCCGACGACTACACTGAATGTGCAACACCTTTTTTTTTAAAATGCCGAGCCTTAGGCTTGCCACCGCTAGTGCCTCAAAAAAATCCTAGAGAACACCGGTTTTTCGTTAGTCGAGCTAAAACACCCTTCCATACAGGCTTCTCCATTCCCCAGTTTTTCAGTCGCACGACGACAGTCTGAAACATCTGAACCAATCAAAAAGAAGAAGAAAACGTTAGCGAAAGATAGAAAGGGTCTCATGTCAATAGTAAGCAATGAAAATAGGGGGTGCAAACGTAAGAGAAATCCAAAGCTTTTCAACTTAAACAAAAGAAAAAAAACGGCAGGCCTGCTCAGGAGGCGCTGCACAGTCACAGCGACAGCTAGAAGACCTGCCTGTCGGAGCCTTTTCTAAACGCTCAATGGGTAACTGCTGAAGTTGGTATGTGCCACAGTTATTAGCAGAACAAAAACAAGCTTTTGTAATGGGTTTGATCATTGAATGACTCACTCATTACGCTAATCATTGTGTGACGACTGGTTGCTCTTTTGCTGTTTTAGAACGCTTTGTAAGTCGTATTAACGCGATTGCTTTCCCGACGTCGAACCTACCTAAAGCAAGTTTGCCACCTAAGTCCCAAGCACCGGGAACTCAGTGGTAGAATACTGGGCTGCACCCAGTGGACCCGCGTTCGAGCCCCACTGTGTCATTTGTATTAAGGTTTTCTTTTAGTTTCGCACGATGTAGTTATAACTCTAGGAATAGGTAATAAGCTCTAGGACGAACGACCCATGGTTTACCCGTGACGTCAAACGGCTTTTAAACAGGAAAGAAAGGGCCTACAGAAAGTCAACTCGAACCAACGATCCTGATGACTGGCAGAACTACAAACAGATTTCTACTTCAACTGAACAAACAATACGTGAGGCAAAACATAAGTATTTTAATATTACGCTCCCAAGTATTATGAAAACCGACCCAAGCAAATTCTGGAGTATTATAAACCCCAAGAACAAAAACACGGTACCCGTCCTAACCAATGCAACCGGGGTTAAGTTATCCTTGCAAGAATGTGCCGAACATTTTAACAAAGCCTTTGCCAAAGTTTTCACTACCGAGCTACCTTTAAATGACTCTTTTGATCCGTCGCAACCAAACATAGATTCCTGTTTTACGCCCATTGTAATTACAGCCCATGGCGTGGCATGCGCTACCGACCACCTAGCTTCCAAGACTAGCCCCGGGCCTCACGGTATAACAGCGAAGCTCATGAAAATAACTTCTCCTTACTCAGCTTACCTGCTTTCGTTGTTATTTCAGCAATCCCTAGATTCAGGTTGCTTGCCGGACGAATGGAAATTTGCCCATACCCTACCATTTTTCAAATCTGGCGACCGGTCTGATCCCCTTAAATATAGGCCTATTTCACTTACTTCAATCAGCTGCAAGTTGCTGGAACATATTCTTTTCACGCATGTTGTAACCCACCTTAATCAGAATAACTTCTTCATTAGCAATCAACACGAATTTAGGAAACATTTCTCATGTCAGACACGACTTTTTGAGCTGGTCACTGACCTCCACGTTTCGCAGCACAGGTTGCTTTGTACCGATGTCATTTTTGTCGATTTGTCGAAGGCGTTTGATCGGGTTCTACATCAGCGTCTAATGGCTAAAGTTTGTAACCTTAATCTGGATGACAAAACAACCCACTGGATTCGTAGTTTTTTAACAGACCGTTTGCAATCTGTAAAATTAAATGACCACGTTTCTAACCCAGTGGGTGTCTCATCGGGAGTCCCCCAGGGGTCAGTACTTGGCCCTTTACTGTTTCTGATTTATATAAACGACCTCGCATGTAACATTTCCTCGTCAATTCGTCTCTTTGCCGACGATTGTGTGATATATAGAGAAATAGTAACTTCCGATGATGTTTCTACACTCCAGCATGATTTATTTACTCTAACTGAATGGTGCGAAAAATGGCTGATGAAAATAAACGTAGAAAAAACTAAGCATGTGCAATTTTCTTCTACGACAAGATCCGAAACTTATAATTACCTAATAGATAATGCCAAAATAGAAACAGTTTCATCTTTCAAATATCTGGGAGTTACATTCACCTCCGATTTAAGCTGGACCCCCCATATAGAAAAAATCACATCGAAGGCGTGTAAAAAGCTCGGCCTGCTCAAGCGTCACCTTTATTTAGCTAATTCAGAGACACGACTTCACGCGTATAATGCTCTTATCCGCTCTTCACTAGAATACGCGCAAATCATCTGGCATCCACATCAGATGTGTCTGACTAACATGCTTGAATCCGTACAGAACAAGGCCGCGCGCTTCATTCTGTCATCGTACTCAAGATACCAGAGTGTATCTGCCTTGAAGGACGAACTTAATCTCCCCCCTCTCACCCAACGCAGGCAGTTGTCAAGATTAACTTTTTTTCACACCCTGTACCATCATCCAACACCATTCGCTCGCAAATTTATACTCCCGGCACCCTATACGTCCGCACGCGCTGACCACGCTCACAAAGTTGGCCCAATTTTTGTCCGAACAAACAAATATCAGAACTCACCCCTTGTTCTGGCAATCAATCAATGGAATTCTTTACCTAGTAGCCTAGTGGACCAAACAGACACCTCTTCTTTTCAAACCGCACTCCTCGCTTTTCTAGCTATTCAAAATACCCTGTAACTTGTCTTCATCATGGTCATCTTTTCTAGGCTGTAAATTTGTGTTCCTGCCTTCTAAATACCAGATTTTCTGTCACTTTTACATTTTTTTTATATGTTTCACGCTGTACTTTGCAATTATGTACTTTTGCTGCCTTTATGATATTGTAATGTCACTTTTATTGTGTTGATTCTTTCTTTTTACAATATTGTACGTTGTGTCGGCTTTCAACCCATTCCCCCCCTATGTAATGCCCATTTGGGCCCTTAGGGTACCTAAATAAATAAATAAATAAATAAATAAATAAAATAAACACCGGGGGCGGAGGGGGCGGTGGACCGCCGCGGCGCTGCGTGTGACCCGAGTTGTGATCTCATAATGGTTTTCGCTGTAGAATTCCGGCGTGGTGGAGCAGTGGTTATAGCACTCGGCTGCTGACCTGAAGGCCATTGGTTCGTACCCCTCCGCGGCAGTTCCATGTAGATAAAGGCGAAAGGGTAGGGAATTCGCGATGTTAGTGCACGTTAAAATACTCCCGAAGGTCGAAATTTCGGGAACTCTCCACTACGACACCTCTCGTGATCATACCGTGGTTCTGGAACGTACAATCACCTATATTAATATTAACTGAGAAAAAGTTAAGTTTTATTAACGCGCATATTCTATGAATCTATGAAGTAGATAATTAATTTTGTGTGCTGCTTTGCACGGAAACAGCACATCGTTCCATATGACACCAGACAATTTTGTGCAGTTGTTGAAGCACTCTATCGGGCTATGTGAATTATTTCATGCCATTTTTTGTTACAACGGGTGACAGAGCGTTTCATATCAGATTAGGTAATGTGGCTGACAAACCAATATTGTCTGCAGCATGAGCCTCCAGATCGCTTCAGCTGGCTGGCTGCAGTTACACTATTTATACTCCTGAAAGGGCCATGGCAGTGAAGAACATTCAGCTGGTGAGAAGGGTGTATATATAGCTTGAACAAACGGTCTTCTGATGTAGAGATTAGAGAAAAGACATCGCCAATGCCTGAAAATGATTCCTTTCAGAAGAATGTTGGACGTTATGGCTCAAGAAAGCCGTCGATACAGAATGACTCAATTTTGTACTCTGATACTGAAGTTGGAGCTTTTAATACGTGCGTTTTGTAGAATAAAAAAAATGTTTAAGGCCAGTCACGTATATGCAGGACAGGGACATAGTTATTGAAGCAAAATTAAAAGGAAATATGGTGGACAGTCATGTGTTGGTCGGGTCGCTTTATCGTGTCCTGGAATCATGCACCGCAACTGTGCACGTGCAATTGCAGTTTGAAGTTCTTCCCGTGTATCACCGCGCAATGTTGTTCGCGCTGTTCGCTTTCTTTGAAGATTTAAAGGAACACTGAAGAACAAAACGGTTTGGCGTACAATTTCACAATCCTGAAAACATCAATCATACGGGAGTGACGCTTCGTAAGCAAGAAAACACTTGAAAAGTAAATACGAATGAAGGCGCCACCTTGGTATTCGCGCACCAAACACCATGATGTCATATATCTTGAAGGCGTTGACTAGGCCCTACGTAGCTTCTAACCAATAGAAATGAAGTACATTTGCCTGTGTGGGTGCCGTATACCTAGCATATGAAATATCAGAAAACTTTATCAATCCAACGTGGCTAAATTCAAAAATACATTTTGAAAATTTCGACGTCATTCACAAATATTTCGGCAAGGAATTTAAAAAGGAAACTTGAAGCCGAACTTTCCCTTCTTTTAGTTAACTCATAATAGTGAAACATGTGGCATTAAAGTTCTCAGAGTGTGGTTTGTTAACGTAAACCAAGTCTGCGTTTTTTTTTCAGTGTCGCACTATCCTATTTCTATATCAGTACACTGCAGTTTCACCAAATCACCACATTGCACGATCAGTGCAATTTTTCTTTCGGGACATAGCCAATCACTGCACATTGTTATCTTCCAGTACTCACGTCTTATGGTCCAAGGCTCCAACTTCAGAAAGCCACGCAGTGTTCTCAGAAGGCCCACTTTGCACTCGGGGCTCACGTCGGCTCTGAATAGCTTGAACTTTACAGAAGCCGGAATGCTGGCGAAGCCACGAGACATCGCACTTCGTAGCACTGACAAGTAGTCAACGTCAAGCTGAACATCCTTCGCAGTGCCAGTGTTCGTCGCAGCTGACACAAGACGATTAATGCCGAATGTGTCCGTTAACCTTTGAGACACTGAGTTTCCGACAAAGAGGAAGAGAAATCCGCTGAGTACCACGTAGTTCATCTTACCGGGTACCACCAAATCGAATACCTGGCCTAAAGTGATTGTACCAGAATCATAGTTTCTGTCACTAGCACCGTGGTGTTTTGTGGATTGACGGAGTTCACAGCAGAAAGTGTGGGCCCCGGTCTCGTATCAACCGAGAGACATCCAGCCGAGCATAGAATTCTTCGTTGCGGCAGACTGTATAATCGGTGAGCTGGTGGTGATGCAAAACTTGGGGCATCAGTGCGTCACCACATATTTGCTACGAGATTCATCGCTACTGAAACACTAACATTCACTTTAGCTTTTTCGGTATTCTATTTCGTCACGCAGCGTCACTTGCAGTGGCGGTATTGCACATCCGTTTTGAAGGATTACCCAAAGTCAGGCGCGTGGATCGATTGCGTAGCAAGTAATTGAAACGTAGAATACATTTCCCGCGTGAGCCCACTGGAAACGGTAGCGGATGTCGAATACTGTGTGAAAAAATAAGAAATAAACATGGCACTATAAAAGTACGAATACCAGTAATTAACGTTATCGCACTTAGGAAACGGCGGTAGCGCTTTCGACACGCTGTCTGTTTGTTGACAGGTTGACATATTGACGTGTAAGCATTTTAGGCGGCTTTTCAACTGCCAAATATGTCAGCACGTAACGTGCTACACGACGCACTTTGTAAGGAGGTACTAGAAAACGCTCCTGAGGATAAGTTTCGAGCGCACACCCTCACATTGAGAATCGTTACCATGGTGACCGAAACAATCATTTGCCGATCGTCTGACTTTTATAGCCGAGTCTCTCTTCAAACCTGATTTCACACTAAGAGTATTTCAGGTGAAAGTGCACGCCTTCTATGTCGTTGTTTGCAACTTCATTTTGTGAATTCCTCTTGAGAGTCTCAGTCGAACTTTTCACCATCATTTTTACATAAAAGTGATGCGCGCCAAGGCCCACCGAGACTTCGGCGACACATTTTCTTCCCGGAACTGACGTCTAAAATGCGCATGAGCAGTGGTGTTCAATAACTACAACATGCTGTGAGTAGGTGATCTTGGCCGAAGTTCTGTGCTCAATCAGTCACGCTCTTTTGGCAATGATATCGCTTTATTTGGTTCCGCTATAATCATCAACTACTGCAGCAAGCACAAGCATCTATGACCAGAAGGGTTTGTTCGATGGTTAATGATATACGTTAGTCGTTTGGATGAAGATGTACCAGGAAGCGTGGACGTGCGTGCATCCACGTTAAAACGCCAATAGACACTGCGCAGGGTCTCGTATCAACGCACAGTAAACGTTACACTACTTCTGCAAGGTCATGTTTTAAAGTCGTGTTTTACCGCTTCATCTTACGGAGGAATCAACCACGTTATCTTTATTGCGCAGGGCTATGCAGGTTTTCGAAGAATGGCGACCAAAAAACCCTAATAAGTCGTATTCAAAATATGGTCCACTTCTGACCTTTACCCGGGAAAGCAGTCAATACATGACACGTCTTTGACCAAAGCATGCCATTATTTCATTTTCTTTTCATGCGGAGGTTGCTTTCTTCGGACTTGATCACAGAGTAAGCATATTTTTTATAAACCATGGACTAGACGGAGAAGGTTGTGGGGTAGTTGGTTATGCAGCGAAACATCGTCCCCAAAGGCAGAACTTTGCGCACACCTGCGGTGAGTATCCAATGCAAGGTTTCCTACACTACTTCGATTCACGTCTAGTCCAGATAAACGCTCTTAGAAGATTGCCGTCGTGGAGTTTTATTGCGGCACGGCGCATGCCACAATCTGCCCCCGAGGAGGCTCGCTGCACACGTCATCGGCAACCCTACTCGAAGCCTTTAGTAACCCCTATGCTTTTCTGTCAAGGCGTAGTTTAGGTATTCGGCAATAACTACCAGGTACGCCCTTAAGCTGTAGCTTGACGATTTCCTTTCCCACAGCTCGTGACTGAACCCAGCCGTATTTCAGGGAAACTTCCTCTAAATAACTGCAGTTTTGTAATCTTCCGTTCTTGGTGAAGTTTCTCGGCGTGTCTAATCAGACTCGAGTTTAATTCAATCTTTCGTGCTGACGGTATACCTGCCCTTAGCTCATGACTCCGCTCCAGCGTGAGTCAAGGTTTATATTTGGCCCTATCGTTCTCTCAAAGGTATTTGAACAAAAGTGGACTCTGCAGCTGCTTTTTTCATGTGATGTTCCATTCCCGATTGTCCAGTGTTGTGGGTCGATGAGCTTTCTTCTTGCTGATCATCGTGTGCCTCCTTCTTGCCTGTTTATTGTAGTAAAGATATGCCAATGATTGCAATGAAAAAACTTTATTTCAGTCCTGCAGGACGCGCTTAGCGCGTAGCGGGCGTCTCCAACGTAGGGACCAACAGGGAGTACCTGGCGGCCGCTTCGTGGGCCTGCTGGACGGCCCATTGCTGGTCGGCGAGAAGTGAGCTCCTGAGGGACCTCTCCCACTTGCTTGAACTAGAGTCGGGAGGAGTTGTTCTACACTCCCAGAGCATGTGTGCGAGTGTTGCTGTGTGTCCACATGATGGGCATGTGTCGCTGGGGTATGCATCGGGATAATAAACGTGAAGCGTGGCAAGGTTTGGGTACGTGTGTGTCTGTAATAGGCGTAGGGCAATGCCTGCGGTCGGTTAAGTTTCGGATGTGGGGGTGGAAAAATGTGGCGTTCCAGGTAAAAGTGCTTTGTAATTTCATTGTACGTAATTGGTGCATCCCGATTGGTATCTAACCCAGCAAGATGGGGTTGCCCTGTGGCACTGCGGTCGGCAAGTGCGCGCGCTGCACCATGGGCGATTTCGTTGAGGTTGGATAAGGCACCCGGCACCTGGCCAAGATGGGCGGGGAACCAGATGATAGTGTGGTGCTTCAGGGCACTCGGGTCCGCTTTGCGCAGGATACGTAACGCCTGGTTGGAGATGACTCCACGTTCGAAAGCTTTGATGGCCGGCCTGGAGTCGCTGTAGATGAATTCCCGTTTGCTGTCGAGCATAGCTATAGCTATAGCTACTTGCTCCGCTACTTCGGGGTTTCGGGCTGAGGATTGTGGCAGAGTTAAGAGTCTGCTGCGCGGATGATACCGCGACTGCGGCGAAGGCTCGGTTGTTGCGATAGGCAGCGGCATCCACGAACGAGACGTTGTCCGCTTCCATGTCTATGCGCTTGAGAATGGCGGTCGCCCGCGCAAGGCGCCTGCCTCTGTTGTATTCGGGATGTACGTTTCGTGGAATGGGAGCGATCGTGATAAGGTCGCGGATTTCACGGGGAATGAGAGTCAACTCTGGGGGGTCCCTGGCCCTCGAGGAGAAGAAGCCGAGCTCGCGCAGAATATGGCGGCCCGCCTTGGTGGTGGTGAGTCGGGTCAATTGCACGCGTTCCTGAGCTTCGGCGATCTCTTCTAGCGTGTTATGTACGCCAAGCTCGAGGGGTTTGTACGTTGGAGTGGTGATAGGGAGGCCAAGGGCTCGTTTGACCACCTTGCGAATAAGCGCATTGAGTTGATCGCGCTCAGCACGTAGCCATTTGTGTATAGCGGCAACGTAGGTAAAATGGCACAAAACAAACGCGTGTACGAGAAGCAGCAGGTTGTCTTCTTTGAGGCCATGGTGCCTGTTGGCTACTCTACGTACGAGTCGTATGGCATTCTCAGTCTTAGTCCTGAGCTTGTGTACTGTTTGGGTGTTGGTTCCGTGGGACTCGATGATCATGCCGAGGACCTTGATGGTGTCTACCCTGGGTACAGTACGACCATCTCTGCTATGGAGGGTGATATTGCGTTCCGCCGGAGGTTTCCACCCTTTGGGCTTGGAACCCCGGCGTTTTGGGCAAATATATCAACAGCTCCGACTTCAAGGGTGAGCACCTGAGACCGGTGTGGTCGAGGTAAGACTCGGTGGTGTCGATAGCCTCTTGCAGGGCGGACTCAATGAAGCCATCCGACCCTGTGGAGCACCATATGGTTACATCATCCGCATAGATAGTGTGATTTAGCCCGTCGATATTTGAAAGTCGTTCGGAAAGCCCGATCATCACGTGGCTGAAGAGCGTAGGTGAGAGCACGGATCCCTGAGGAGTGCCCCGCTCTCCGAGCTCCACTTCTTTCGGCACTAGGTTTTCTACGCGGAGGACAGCTCCGCGTCGAGTGAGAAAAGAGCGGATAAAGTAGTAAAATCGATGACCTAGGCCGATGGCTGCGATCGCTTTCAAGATTGACGAGTGCGTTATTGTATCGAAGGCCTTTTCTAAATCGAGACCGAGTATTGCACGAGTGTCCCGAGTGTTTTCGCCAGCTAGAATTTGATGCTTTAAGAGTAACATGACGTCTTGAGTGGATAACCCTGGTCGGAAGCCAATCATGTGGTGCGGGATGCAGTCGTTATCTTCGAGGTATCGACCAACCCTGTTGAGGAGGACGTGCTCAGCCACTTTGCCCACGCACGACATGAGAGATATGGGGCGTAGGTTATCTAGGCACGGCGCCTTTCCCGGTTTGGGTATGAGAACCGTGCGAGCTAGGTTCCAAGCATCGGGTATCTCACCCTTTTTCCATATTTCGTTGATAGTGTCGGTGAGGTAAGTGACGGAGGAATCGTCCAGGTTGCGTAGGAGCTTGTTGGTGATGCCATCGGGGCCAGGGGCTGAGCGGCCATTGAGCTCATGGAGAGCTCGGCGCACATCTTCAATAGGAAAGCCGGCGTCTAAGTCAGTGTTGTCGCTGCCAGAGTAATCAGGGTGAGGGGTCACAGGGCCCGTGGGAAGCGGGAGTTAATTTTGCACGAGGTTCTTCACAACATCTTTCGGTGACACTGTCCGTTTAGCCTGATAAAGTATCTTCACGAACGAATGACGCTGATTTGTGCGGGTGTTTGTTTCATTGAGGAGGTGTTTGAGTAAGTTCCACGTTTTGCCATTTCGAACCTGACCATCAATCGAGTTACAAATTTCGTCCCACTGCTGTTTTGAAAGGATGCGGCAGTGATCCATCATGGTCTTGTTCAGCTGAGATATGCGTTTGCGTAACCTCCGATTAAGGCGCTGGTCCTTCCACCGGGCCAATAGAGACTGTTTGGCCTCAAGTAGGTGGGCGAGACGACTGTCCATCTTTTCGGTTGGAAGGTCTATGCTGATAATTTTGGTTGCCTTGTTTACATCAGCTTTGA